TCATGACCTGAGCCGAAGGCAGCGGCTTAACCCACTGAGCCACCCAGGCGCCCCTGATGTAGGGTTTTCTATACTGGCTTGACAGAGGAGGAAACTGAGGCTCAGAGGGGCCTGACAGCAGGATTGTGGCTTCTGGTTGAATCTTGGATAGCATAGCCTCATAGATACTGAGTTTTACTTGGGTACAGCAGTTTCCAGGCATTTTTTTTTTTTTTTTTCAATGAAAGAGTCCACTTTAAAGAGCTCAACATAAAATTACTTCCTGAGTAGGCCAACGGGGAGAGAGAGAAGCAGAGAGCTGTGGTTAGAGCAGAGTCCTGGCGAGCTGCCCCACCTTGTAGTCCCCTCCTCCTGGCCACAGTTCCCAGGGGCAGCTGGGAGCCCACTGTATACACTGTGCCACCTGGGGCATCACCCAGACATAGACCAGTCTGGGTGAGAAGTTGTATCCAGTTGGCACTCTGGTGCCTGGCCAGAGTTTATCCTGGCCACCTTCCCAGCCTGAGGCCCTCTTAATGCAGGTTGCTCGGGGGGAAGGACCATGGCTTCAGTGGTCCGGGTGCATTCCCCTTGGCGGTCTGGAAGGGGCCAGATGGGGACCTGATCACATCTTCAGAGTGTGGGCCTTCCGCTCACACCTCTGCAGGGTTCTGAGGCTTGAGGCTGTGGGATGGGGCCAGAGATGGGTCCAGTGCAGTGACTGAGATCTTCTTTGCAAGGCAAAGGGCCTCTGAAGGAGTATTACGGCGGCCTCATCAGCCAGAAGCGTTTCCAGCACATCCAAGTCTGTACGCCGTGGCTGGAGGCTGAGGACTATCCCCTGCTTCTAGGTAAGGGCATCCAGCTGGCAGCCTACAGGGAGAGAGCTGGGGTTTAAAAGGGAATATTCTAGGACACGGCGGGGACAGAGTTTTTCTGGAAAGGGTCAGATAGTGACTGTCTCATTTGCTTCTATTGCATAGTCTTTGTTTTGTAATCCTTAAAAAATTAAAAGCCATTCTTAGCTCCAGGGCCATAGACACACAGGCCTCAGGCTGGATTGGGCCCTGCTTAGGGGCTGCATGGGGCTGGGAGATGCCACCTGCCAGGAACCTGTCAGAGGAGCTCTTGGCTATCCTCCAGGAGACCAGGCTGCTTCCTGATGTGCCAGCTTCTCCCACCTGCAGGGCCCTAGACCTGTTTATCAGGGTTCTGTCTTCTCAACCTCCAAGCCCTCCATTCAGTCCTGCTCTTCCATCTGGGCAGAAGGGCTGGGCCTGGCCTTGGGTTGGGGTTCCCCATTCCCCAAGTCTGGGAGGGTAGTGGCTTGGGAGATGCAGAAATAATGTGTTAAGCACCATTGACTCCCCTAGGTCCCTCCATCGTCCTTCATCTTCCTTTCTTCGGGAGGGGGTGCTGGCCTCGTGCTGACATATCTTGAAAGGCCTCATCTTCCGGCAGTGTCAAGTGGAAAGCCTTTGGTTGGCAGGAGTTCCCAGGCAGTATTTAGTGATGTGAAGTTGTTTATTTGGCTTTATTTCCACAGTGACAGCTGGTTTTCTGTTGGATGTGCTATGGTTTTTTTTTCTCCCCTAATATTGTGGTAAAACATACAGTAAAAATTTGCTATTTTAATGATTTTTCCATTTTTAAGTATACGTACAACTCAGTAGCATTATTTACATACAAAGCGTTATACAAGTCGTCACCCCTATTTCCAAAACATTTTCATCACCCCAAGCAGAAATTCTGAACCCCTTTAACAATAACTCTTACTGGTTCTTTCAAAATACATCGTGGTTAAGTAGACAAAGGGAGTCTGTTCGACTGAAACTACCCGTGATGGGCAGGTCATTTTCAAACAGGGCCGAGTGGCCGGGAATGGCTGTTGGGGAGCACCGCTGTGTGTCTGCCCTTCTCCAGGCTGCTTGGCCAACTTAGCCAGTAGTATGTGGGGCTGGGGGCATTGTTAACCCTGCTTTCCATTCCCTATGCTGAGGTGACGATCCACAGTCCTTTCAGGATTTGTGTTCTAGGGGTGCATGGGCCTGCGCTCTGACTGCCCCCCTCGCCCCAACCCTGCAGGCTCGGCAGACCTGGGTGTGTGCCTGCACAAGTCCTCCAGTGGCCTGGACCTGCCCATGAAGGTGGTGGACATGTTCGGGTGCTGTCTGCCCGTGTGCGCTGTGAACTTCCAGTGGTAGGAGCAGAAACCGAATGTTCACGGAGTTAGGTTCTCAGATCAGCTGTGGTGGCGGGGCGGGGGTGGTTTGTCAGTGAGGTCGGAATTGCTCATGGAATTCTCCCAGAAAATCATGCAGCATTGCCAGGTGGTCCTTGGGAGTAGGGCCTGTGGGCTTTCTGTGGGTGGGCTGTACCCTGTTGAAGGAGTGGACTTCCACTTAGAGCTGATGTTGAATAAAAAATATGAGTCTTAAATATTCCATTTAGGGAGCCTGTGCTCATGGATAGAGTGGTGGATGGAATTGCCTGCACAGCTGACATGGTTTTATTTCTGTGTCCCTTTTGTCTGGGCTCATAAGAGTTGAATTGGAATCAGTTAAATGAGTGTGATTCTGTCTCCACTGTTCCTGGCAAAGATGGGTGTTTGGAGAGGGCGGTGTTAGGAGAGGTTCTAGAAATAGTAGTCCCACCATTGGCTCAGGAGCCAGCCTCTGAATGGGAAATACAGGATGTTCGACCCTGAGCTCCGGGCATATTGGGATTAACTCCCTGTTGACCCAGAAGAGTCATCCTTAATGTGCCAAGTCTCCCTCTAGTGCGGTTGCCTTTTACCTTGTTTCTCTGCTGTGCAATTAAGAAAAAAAAAATGGAGAGCTCATTGAGCACGTTCTCAGAGAAAAGAGCCTGTAGCAGAAAAGGTCAAAGTGTGTACTCACTGTTCCTCCTTCTTGGAATCAGTTTGGATTTTTTTTTTTTTTTTCAGTTTGGATTTTTAATGTGTATTTGTCCCTCGAGGCCTTTTTTTTTCTATTCAGATGCCAAATCTAAGAACAGACCCGCTGCGAGCAGACTGACCGTGGGAGGGGTGGGGTAGGAGTCCGGGTGGGCACTGCAGGCACCGCGGGCACCGCGGGGATTTTCCAGGCTCTCAGGTCCTGTGATTCTCTCTGCAGCTTACACGAGCTTGTGAAACATGAGGAAAACGGCCTGGTCTTCGAAGACTCTGAGGAGCTGGCAGCCCAGCTGCAGGTAGCCATGTCTGCCCCCACGCCAGGCTGAGCTCTGCCCTGATTGTTTGCTCCTGTGTCTGGGCAGGCCTGTGCTGGGTCTGGGTGACAGCTGAGGCAGGGAGCAGTGGTCCCAGAGGCTGGGCCTCCCTGCACTCTGTGTGGGTGCGGCCCTGACTGCCCTCTGGGTTTGTGGAGCTTATACCACTCGGTGATGCTGGAGCTGGTGGACCATGTGCGCTGTCTAGGGAGTGAGCCACTAGGGAGTGAGTGAAGGGAGCTTCATGAAGCAGTTTTGCAGGGGTGGGGGGTGGGAGTCTTCAAATGGTGCTTACACTTATTACAAAAGATGGGTTCATCATTCTTGGCAGTTGAGACCAGGGACAGCAAACTTTCTGGAAAGGCCCAGGTAGAAAATGTTTTTGCTTTGCCATAGTCTCAGAAGTCCTCAGCTCTGCCGTAACATGAAAGCAACCACAGTCTGTGAGTGGGGGCTCATCGGGATGGGGCTGTGTTCCATTAAAACTACTTGCAGAGACAGGTGGGGGCTGAAGTTGGCCCCTGGGCTTACTTTGCAAACACCTGATGTAGTTTAGCAACATGTAGTTTAGCTGGAAAGAACACAGATGCCGAGTTCTAGCACGTGGGCTGGACAGTGGTGGGCAGAGGCTGAGGGTGGGTGCTGTGGGTGGACAGCACAGCAGTGGCCAAGGGCTGCCGCAGGGCACGGTGTGTGGATGGCGTGGATGGAAAGCGCTGCAGGCTGGGCCGCACTGTCAAGGAGGAGCAGAGTAGGGGATGGAGCATGGCTGGGGCTTGAGGGGTCTCCTATGCCCCGTGAGGAAGGGGCTTGCTGGGTCTGGGATATCGGGGTCAGAGCTGTGTCAAGCTTAGCCAGGGTTGCTGTGAAAGCTGGGCCAGAGCGGGAGCTCTGGGGGCTCCGGGACAATGGTAGTGGTTCTTGAAGTGCAGTGACAGAGGGTTTCGGTAGGATCACTGGTCTGGGAGGCTGTGTTTGGAGGCGGACAGGAGTCCAGGCTGCTGGGAAGGAGGGACAGCTCTAGGGTGGGACCTGAGACAAGGGTGGGAAGCAGGGATGAGTAAGTTCTGGTCGTTATTCTTCTAGATGCTTTTCTCAAAGTTTCCTGATCCTGCTGGCAAACTAAACCAGTTCCGGAAGAACCTCCGGGAGTCAGAGCAGCTTCGTTGGGATGAGAGCTGGAAGCAGACGGTGCTGCCTTTGCTTATGGACCGGTGACTGCTTGAGCCAAAGACAGTGCTCCTGAGTGTGGTCCAGTTCCTCTTAGCCCTGGGCAAACGCTTTAGAACAGCGCCTCCCTGTGGACAGCAGCTGGAAGGACGGCTGTAGAGTGAAATTTTTTAATGAGTGGGAGTTTGTGGACTAGGAAGCTGGTTCAGCCTGGTTTCCTCCCTGGAGGCTCTGATTCTGAGAGACTCATGACCCGAGTGTTTCTTTCTCCCCACTGTATTACTTTCCTGTTATTTGCGTGTGGTACCTTCAACATCTCTGATCTGTTTTTGTCTTACGGTGTCTGCCTCTCCCAGCATCTGTCCCATTGTGTCCCTAGTATTTCATTCCTGCTGTAAGGACAGGTACCACAGCCTGCTGCTCTGTAACGTCTACAATGGGTTTGAAGCAGCTTGGCTTCATGAGGGACGTGGGTGCAGGCTTGGGGGTGGGATGGGGAGACATACTTGATACATGTTTTTATTTGCATAAATGAAATGCTTATTTCTGAGCAAAAATTTTCATTTTTGATTTATAGAGATTTACTTAAGAACTAGAACTAGTGACAGAAAGAGGCACCCACTTAGGTAGTTTATATTTTATTAGAACACAGTTTGCAGTCCTGATTCTGAATTTAACATTCTTCAAGCATTTAAGTCCAGTGAAAATTTTATCAGCTTTGCCACATGAAAATTCTTTCCAGGATGGTGATTTAATTTTCATGTTAATCTTTAAAAATGTTTGTAAACCTACAGCATTAATTTCAAAATTTTCATGTCTGAGTGCTCTTCGTAGGGAAACAGCTTCTGGTTGTGATGAGGCACTGCTTCCCATGGGATCCCAGCCCGGCCTGGAAATACAACATGTGTCTCAGGATGGTGGGGACTGGGGACACGACACCACCTATATAATGTGGGGCTGCAGGACAGGCCGGGGGGTATATACAAACCACAGACTTCTGGGCCCCATCCAGACACCTAGAATCAGCCTTCAGGGATAGGACCAAGAATTGAGTTTTTAAACGGCGCATGGCAGCCACATTTGCCGCCCCTGTCTTCTGGGCCATACCTTCCCTAGAAGGTCACAGACCTGTCTGGGTTTCCTGACCACTCAGCCTGGTGCCTGTTGGCAGGGGCTAGATATGCACCAGAAGGGCTTACATCCTCCTCATAAGCACAGATGCCTGAAGAGCCTTTGGCAAGGATCGTTTTGTCATCAGTTTTTTATGAATGAAAGTAATTATAAAAATGAAATATTAAAAGTACACACGTGTCAGCGTTCCTGGCTGGCTCAGTCGGTGGAACTTGGGACTCTTGATCTTGGGTTCATGAGTTCAAGTGCCACACCAGGCCTAGAGCTTATTTAAAAAAAATATATATATACGTGTGTGTGTGTGTGTGTGTGTGTGTGTGTGTCTATACTCCTGTGTGTGTGTGTGTGTGTGTGTGTGTGTGTGTCTATACTCCTGCCACCAAGTATCACAACTGTTAATTGGTCTATGTTCTTTCAGGTTTTTCCCTATATACATATGAACATGAAGAGGATTATTTTTAAAAATAGAAGAAGTTGGGGCACCTGGGTCACTCAGTTCGTTAAGTATCCGTCTCTTGATTTCAGCTCAGGTCATGATCTCAGGGTTGTGAGATCAAGCTGCATGTTGGGCTCCCCACTGGGCATGGAGCCTGCTTAAGATTCTTCCTCTCAAAAACAAAAACAAAAGAAAAGAAAAGGTTCTCCCTCTTCCTCTCTTAAAAAAATGGGCTTATTGGGGCGCCTGGGTGGCTCGGTGGGTTTAAGCCTCTGCCTTTGGCTCAGGGCATGATCCCAGGGTCCTGGGATCGAGCCCCGCATCGGGCTCTCTGCTCAGCAGGGAGCCTGCTTCTCCGTCTCTCTCTGCCTGCCTCTCTGCCTACTTGTGATCTCTGTCTGTCAAATAAATAAAATCTTTAAAAAAAAATGGGCATATATATAAAAATGGTGTTTGGTACTTTGCTTTCTTCACTTAAACTATAGTATAGAGATTTTTCATATAGTGTCTGAAAGAGGACTTCATTCTTTTTCAAAGCTACAGGGCACTCTGTTCATGGGACACGGGCACACGTAGGGGGTGTTTGCCTATAGAGGCAGCTGTTGTCGGGGCTGTGCTGGGGAGGGGTGGGTTGGGGCACACGTGGTACCACACTGCAGCCAGGCTGTGTGAAGAAAGCCCCGGTTGGGCCTGGCACGTGACAGGGAATGCAGGACAGTGGCCGGTGGTTGTGGGGTGGGAGAGTGGAAGGCGGGAGTCGGCTGCCTGGCTCCACTCTGGAGCTCAGGCAGTCACCAGCCCCCATGCACCCCAGAATTTCCATGGGTGAGACTGGAGGATGACAGCACACCCCTCTGTGGTGCTGGGGGGCTGACCGGTCTGAGGACAGTACCTGGCCACAGCAGGGCCAGTTTGGGGTGTAAACGGCAGAGGCCCCCCTCCTCCAGAGTCCTCCCTGCTTTTCTTCCATTTACTGGGTGCTTAATACAGTGATAGCAGCAGCTACCATGTTCCCAAGTGCTCTCCCCAATGCCAGGTCCTGTGTCACCTCCCAGGTGGATGTTCCTACCACACAGATGAAGACAGGGAGGTGAGTGGCAGCCCAGGTTCACCAGGCGCAGTTCCAGAGCCTGCACCCTACTGCTGTGTGGCCAGAACTCATCTACCCTGACACCCACTGGCATTCACCATCCTCTCTTCTCCGTTCCACAGACGAGGAAACGGGCCTGAAGACCCTTGAAACCTGCTCTAAATGCATAGTAGGACTGCTGGTCTGACCTCTAGGACTGCTGCATAAACTGCCTCTTCCCCTTCAGAGCACAGCTCCCCGGCCTGCCTCCTCTGCTGACCAGGCCTCCTCCACTGAGCCCCCGGGGGCGGGGTGGGGGTGGGGGTAGTGGGCCAATGGCCCAGCCTGACTGTCTGTTTTCAGGGCCCCATTCTTTTACTCTGCTGATTTCTGCCTCGCTGGAGTCCTGTGTGGGGGCCCAGGTGGCTTCTTAGAGACAGCAGCCCCTCCCAGGGCCCAGGGCTCACCCAGCTCGCTCGTGAACAGCTGGCAGGTCTCTGGGTTGCGGATGGTGAAGGCAATGTAGGCCTCAGGAGCCTGCTGGTTCTTCAGGCAAGCAGAGAGCCTCTGTAGGACTCTGACCAGGGAGAGGACAGTTTCTGGGCAATACAGCACATCTGTAATGAAAAAACTCATGTTACTGAAAGGGGCTCACTCTAGGATTCAGGATCCAGAAAAGAGGGTGCCTGATTGTGCTGACATCAGCAGCAGGGCTGGGGCCTGGAAACCATCAGCTTTATTAGAATCATGACATTGGTCTACGGCCATACCACCCTGAACGCGCCCGATCTCGTCTGACCTCGGAAGCTAAGCAGGGTCGGGCCTGGTTAGTACTTGGATGGGAGAATCATGACATTGGACCAAAGAAGATGACATAGTTAAAAAGGAAAACTCTTCGGAGAGAAAAAAAGCTGCTGAAAAACCCTGCATGAAATGGAAAATATTCAGGACTCACTGGTGTTCCTTTAAAAAAAATCAGTTCTTTGACTATGGTCTATTTAGAAGATGCTTAATGAAATAACCCCCAAGCAGTTCTCTGTCTCAGACTTCTTGTTTGCAGGGATCTGCTGTTTTGTTGGCCGCACTGAGGGGCAGGGGGTAAACTCACTCCCTGTCAGCACCCTTACTTGGGAAGGTGCTACTCAGGCTCTGTGTTCTGGCCACTGTGGGCCTGGATGTCTCAGGGCTGTAGGCCAGGATCAGAGTCACAGCACTGTCAGCTGGACTGGGGACTGGGTGAACTCAGTGGAGGACAAGGGGGCTGTTGGCCAAACAGCCCTTGTGTCAAGGACCCTGTCCTTGCGCCTGAAGTGGCTGGGCCCTTCCTTCCCCCACTCATCCCCTCAGAGATGAGATGTGGGGCTTGTCTCTGAAAGACATGGGGGCCTGATCTGGGACAGAGACGTGCAGGCAGAGCCCTTGGGGTCAGATGTGCAAATATCAGGCAACAGAGCTGTGTAGAGATAGAAGCAAGCGCTTACCAGGGTGGGGCACTCAGAGCTCCTTCCCTGACTCTGAAACCACTGTGGTTCGGCCCTAGGTCTGCCCCAGGGCTGGGTGTCTATGACATGTATAGGAATCAGACGTGGTCCTGGGAGAATCACGCTTGTCCCTTGCAGCCCTGAAAAGATAGGGCTGCCATGGCCATTTTGGCCCCACATCTGAAGACTGGGGGGTGGTCGAGGCAGGGCTGCTGTTCAGCTCCCCTGCTTCATGGGGCTGCTCTGGCCATTTCATTCAGATTCTAGGGAGGGACATAAAAATCTCTCTGCTCAGCTGCAGCCTGGCTAATAGGTCAGATGGCTTTGGTGCCCTGGGGCCTGTGCACTCCATCACAGGCTTTGCTGAGAAAAGCTGGGTTCATTTATCTGAAGGAACCATTTTAACAGGAATACATGTGACCACTGTGTCAAGTGGGAGGACTGTGGCTTTAGGGCATCCAAGAGCCATGCCCTGTAGTTTGATGTCTCCCTGAAGGCCCACAGTGGCACTTCTACAAGTCTCATCATTCCTCTGCCTGGCAGAGTACACTGTCCCCTTCCCAGAGCTGAGTGCTGGGTAGAGCCGCTCCAGTTGCTGCGGGGCAGGAAGCAGTACCTGCTGCTATGATTACGTCTGGCTGGAAGGCAGCGAGCTCAGGGGCTGTCACAACGTCCCAGTCCAAATGGGCCACCGTCACCCTGGGGCTCTCTGAGTTATAGGCATTATGTTCTGGGTGCCTTGCAGGATCAGTGGTATCTGGTTCCAATGAGAGGCCATTGAGAAGGATGTTTCTTCGGAGCTGCTCAAGGACACAGGTGTGACAGTCGCTGAAGATGTATGTGCTGGGACAGCATGTCTTGCAAATGGCCAGGCCCGTGAGGCCAGCTCCACTGCCGAGCTCTAAGACAATCCTGGGTGGGAGAAGGGGACCTGTGTCTGAGACTGTGCTGAGAAAACTGGCCTTACTGCCCTGCCCGGCACCCCGAGGTCACCTGTGAGCAAAGGCAGCCGGGTTTTCTATGGCCCATTCTGCAAGGTAGAGTGCGGCGTCCCACGTGACCAGGCCGGTGGTGCCATGGGAAATGATGGCTGTGCTCTCAGAGAGTGTGACTGAGTCTCCGGAAGGCTGGGCCAAGACAGGGAAAGGATTAATCCAGCTATTAATTACCTGATTTTAAAAAGAAAAACATCGGGGCGCCTGGGTGGCTCAGCGGGTTAAAGCCTCTGCCTTCAGCTCAGGTCATGATCCCAGGGTCCTGGGATCGAGCCCCGCATCGGGCTGTCTGCTCAGTGGGGAGCCTGCTTCCTCCTCTCTCTCTGCCTGCCCCTCTGCCTACTAGTGATCTCTGTCTGTCAAATAAATAAATAAGATCTTAAAAAAAAAAAAAAAGAAAAGGAAAACATCACAACAGGTGCATGGTAGATAAGACTGTGGAACATTCTGCCACAGAATACTATACAGCAATGGAGAGGAACAGGTTATCACTGTATGTGTCACCTGCATGGGTCTCAAGGACATTAATGGTGCACAAAGAAAGCCAGTCTCGGAAGGTCACACGTTGTGGGATTCCGTCCCTCTCACCTTCTCAGAATGACAGGACTGTGGAGACGGAGAACGGATCAATGGCCGCCAGGGTGGGGCTGGTGGGGACTGGGGACAGGGGGGGCCCGAAGGAGGTCTTTGTGGTGACAGTAGGTCGGTATCTTGATTGTAGGGGTGCCCACACGGACCTGCATGTGTGGTAAATGAGGTACACCTACACATGCATGGTGTGTACGTCAGGGTCCTGGTAGTGAAGCCGTATAAGTTAGGGCCTGTGTTTCCAACAGGGGAATCTGGGGAAAGGGCACCTTTACTGTTCTTGCAATGTCTATGAATCTGTCATTATTAACAACAACAAAAAGTCACAACTCTCTGGCATCCTGAGCTACACGTGAAAAGTCTTAGTGTGTGGGGCCTTCCTCAATTCAACCCAACATCTGGGGCCTGGGAATTCTTCGGCCCTTGAACTTTTCTGTCACCCTCAAAGCAAGTGTTTCCTGGAACATGCAGTCCTGAACTGTGTTCTCCAAAGTGGGGCATCTGAGCATGGCACTTCTGACACGCAGTCACCTGGGGGCGGCTTCTGGCTATCTCTGAGCTCACAAACTCATATAGGAGACTCCGGTCTCTGCGGTACTGCGAGCACTTATTTGTTCATTCATCCATCCGCGCATTTTTCCTGAGCATCTATTACGGTGCTAGGGATTCACATGTGACAAGATGAAGTCATTCCCTGTTCTTATGGAACTTCCATGCCAATGGGGGTTAAAACCATAATAAACAAAGTAATTTCTCAGGTTTTCAGTGCTATGAAGAAGACAAAAAGGACTACATGATAACAGAGACTGGGGGAGGGGTCTATTTCAGATAGATTGGTCAGAAACGGCCTCTTTGAGGATGTGTCATGTGACCTGGGATGTGAGTATAAAGGAGAAGTGAGGCATGTGAGGTTCTAGGAGGAGAGCATTCCAGACAGAGGAGGTGCAAAGGCCCTGAGGCAGCATTTTAGTTGGCGAGTTCAAGGAAGGCAAAGAATGCCAGGGGTCTGGAGCAGAGGGAGAGCAGGAGGAACTAGAGGAGAAGGAAGGCTGCAGCAGGGCATGCAGGGCTTGGCAGGCCACGTGAGAAACTAGGATTTGAGTCTGAGTATGGAGGGCAGCTGCTGGCAGGCTCTGGGTGGTCGAGAGACACGCTCTGATTTACGTCTTAAGTCAAGGGGAGCACTCTGGGGGTTCTGGGAGTGTGGTTCTGAATCTTCCTGAATCCCCACATACGAACAGAGTAGTGAGATATGGACAACATTCAACAAAACTAGGTGAAGCCGAAGTATCAACAAGTGGGGGCAAACCACCAACAGACATAAGACGTATGTGTGTGTGTGTTCGCACGCGTGTGTGTGTGTGAGCAATGGTGCGCACAACAGGCCTGAGGACAGAAGCCCAGTAGCCAAGTGTTCACTGGAAATGCAGGTGCCAGCTGTGAACCACAGCCCATAGAGAAGAGAACTTGCTGCTCTAGTCATCGGGGGTATGAGGGACTGAGGGTGAGGCCTAATGGCAACTACAAACACTGAGAAATGTGTGAGAACAGAAAACACTTCAGACATCAAGGTACATGAGAAGAAGGTGAGAAAGAAAACAAAACATAAAAACAGATCGGCCCATTAGAGAAATGGAAGGTGAAAGTAGTGAAATTTTAAACATCAAAAAGAAATTAAGAAAGAGATTATTAGGAGCTGAATGTGCCCTCCTCACAAACTCATATGTTAAAGTCCTAATCCCCAGCACTTCAGGACTGGGACCTTATTTGGAGACAGGGTCTCTTCAGAGGGGATTCTCTCTCTGAAGTTAAGATGAGGTCATCAGGTGGGCCCTAACCCAATAAGACTGGTGTCCCTGTAAGAAGATATTAGGACACAGAAGGCATAGAGGGAAGATGATGAGAAGACAGACGTTGGCAGGCTGAGGAGAGAGGCTGGGAGTATATCCTTTCCTCACGGCCCTCAGAAGGAACCAACCCTGCCAATAACTTGATCTTAGACTTTTGGCCTCCTGAACTGTGAGACAATAAATTTCTGTTACTTAAGATACCTATTTTTGGGTACTTTGTCCCAGAAAATGAAAGCAAAGAACAAATACTAAAAATTTTAATTCAAGAAAACATTCCTAAAAAACAAAAGATAAACACTGAAGGAGTCCACAACGCATCCAAGATCACTGAGGCAGAACAACCAACCTCAAGATATATTCTACTAAAATTCTGGACTTTAAAGGGAAAAGTCCTTTGGCTATTTAAGAGTGAAGGGTGTGGGGCATACACAGGAAAGAATATTAGGGTATTACCAGGCTTCTCCACAGCAACACTTCATATCAAGGAAGATGGAGGAACATATTTAAGAAATTCAAGAGGAGAGGAAAGAGCACATTTTGAGCTTCACTAAGGACACAGTTTGCAATGGGCTGTATTCTTTCTGGGTATGGTAAGAAACCGATTCACTGCATTGACAAAGAAAGAATCAAGTCTGTATCCTGCCTCTCCTCTATGGGCTCTCTCAGTGGGTGACCAAACAGTGGATAAAGGGAGACATCTCGTAAAACTTCTCTAGCCAATGAATGAAAACAAAGTGACAGAATTAGAAAACCACCCTTTCATATTCTCCAATGAATTAAAGAATAAGCTTTGAACATTCATAACTGCTATCATGATAGATACGATGTGTGTCTCCTAGAGCCCCATGTTGTGTTCTTGCCAAAGGGATCAAGCAGATGTAAGTCTGACCGGGCCTCCGAAACCAGCCAGTTAGTGGGAAACAGAGGACGGAAGAACCAGCCGAATAGCACCACGCACAGGTGAGTAAATCCAGCCTGTGGAAAGCAACACAGACACTGCCAGGGAAGAAACAGCTGGAAGGGGACCTGCATGTGAAGGGAGACTTCAAACTAGACGGAGCTGATGGGCAAGAGTAAAGGCTAGTGTCCAGAGGTGCACGTGGGTGGGAGGAAACCACAGAGTGACTGCTCCAAAGGCCCTGGTGGTCACTTTGCAGTGACGGAGGGCTTGCGGGCTGGCTGCCAAAGTTCTGTCCCTTGACTGGAGTAGCGGTCACCATGGTGGCTGACTTGCAACAATTTGGTAAGCTGTACATTTATTTTATGTGGTTTCCTACATCTGTGTTTTATTTTATAATAAAAGGCCCCAAACAAAACCCGAGACCCCTCTAAGTGTTGTGTGCAGAACGGACTTCTGTGGACCAAGAAGGTGTAACACCCGTCCAAGGGCTGTGGTATTTGCCAGGCCAGCAAGGATGGTGCCGGTGGGCAGCGGAGAGAGACTGCTCTCCTGTAACACCATCAAGTATTTACTGAGGACTGAGCACCAGGTCTCTACTATGCAATTATGTGCACAACCTGACTTAACCCCCAGCCACCCCATAAAATAGGTACTATTATGTATTGAAATGCTTGGTTTGGGGAAAACAAGGCTCAGGGTGCTTAACTGACCTCCTCTAAGACCTCAGAGCTGACAGGTCAGGATTTGCACCCACTTGACGCTGACTGGAGTCTGAATTTCAACTCTGTGCACAGGAGTGGATGTGTGGATCATTTGGGGAGGGAGCCCGTCTCCTACCAGCAGATAGCTCCGGTGGGACTGGGTGGGCTCCTCGGCCATCAGGACCTCTGCCAACGCCTCGTACAGCTCATCCAAAGGCTCCGTGTGGACAGCCTCGTGCTGTGGGTAGGCAAAGCAAGAGCTTCAGGCAAGAGGTTAAGTTGACCCTCATGAATCAAACAAAGGTTCCATGAGTTTACTTTTTTTTCCTGTTCTCTGACTGGAGGATTTTTACCAAATTTGGATGGGAGGTTTGGGATGCATTAACTTAATACAAGTCACCTGGCATATGAAAAGTTCATGTGGTGGGGGAGCTGGATGGTATCTCAGGTATAGAGAGGGTGAGGGTAAGGTGTAGTCTAGGGCAGCAGAAATGGGACTGTATGAGCTGCCATGTGATGGTGACAGGGAGCTCTGCCCTTCCATCATGATGTTGTGGATGGATCAAACAACTGGTGCTTTTAAGTGAGCCTGGGCAAAAGCCACAAAGATGGGCACTCTACATGGCGTGGCTGGCTTCATCAATGGGCAAGCCTCTGTTGTGCACCTCACAGGGGCAGCAGTGGGACGGCCATGCTTCTGGTGGTTCTGGGGAGACCTGTGGGCCCCGACTAGATGCGCATGTTGGTAAGAATCAGGTGGGGAGGCAACGGAGAAGCCAGGATTGTTTCATGTGCTAAGCTTGGGTGAGACACGGCTCATGCATTCATTTGCTGAAGATAGCAGGTCTGATGCTGATCACTAAGGAATCACCTCTCCGAGGTCCAGTCTAACGTGAAACCCAGCAGCTTTGGGCTCATTTTTAAAATACATCCTGTAGGGGCGCCTGGGTGGCTCAGTTGTTAAGCATCTGCCTTCAGCTCAAGTCATGATCCCAGAATCCTGGGATGGAGCCCCACATCGGGCTCCCTCCTAGGTGGGGAGCCTGCTTCTCCCTCTCCCACTCCCCCTGCTTGTGTTCCCTCTCTCTCTGTGTCTCTATCTGTCAAATAAAAATAAATAAATAAAAATAAATAAATAAATAAATAAATAAATAAATAAATAAATAAATAAATAAAATACATCCTGTATCAGTCGGGAAAAGAGCCCACATCAGGTAGTTCATTGGGGAGAAGAGGGTATTGCAAGACCTAAAACACCCAATAGAGGGCAGTGTGGCAACCCAGATCTCGGCAACAGCAGGAATAGGTCTAGAACCTGTGGGCTGGCAGCCTGGGGGAGAAAGGAGTGGGGAGCTGGGACCACAGAAGAAATGCAGCTGCTGCTGGAGACCTCTTGAAGCACAGAGGCAGAGATACCCTGGCCTCTCTTCCTTCTGCCCCCCATAGCCTCTGACAGGTCAAACCCAGCTAGGAACAGTTATACAGGGAGCCCCTCTGACATACTGGGGTTTGCAGAGCAGGCAAAGGGCACGAGTTCCAACGGGCAAAGCCAGGCAGAGTCCACTTCTGGAGAATCAGGCAAGTCCCAGGTGCTGTCTGGCTACCAGACAGCGCCCATTACTGACCTTTCTGATGAGCTCCGAGAGAAAGCACCGGGCATACTTCACTGACGGCGGATGCTTCACACACAGAGGATGTTTCACAGTCTGTGACAAAGGACACAATGTGAGTTGCTAGACAGACCCCATTGTAAGTCTCCCACGAACTTCAAGTGAATACAGGGTAACCCCCATTACTCAAGCCCTCAGAAAAGATGTGTACAGACACAAGGGTTCTGGGTTCAGGTGACCCTCAAGAATCTGAAACAGTTAAGTCTTCAGATATAATTCCCTTTCCAAAAAAATTTCTCCACTACAGTGGTGTAGGCTGACAGAACATTCTGGCCAGAACATGGAGCACATGGACCCAAGATAACACCCTGCTATAGACCGTATGTTTGTGTCCCTCCCCAGTTCATAGTCTGAAGTCTAAATCCCAATGTGATGGTATTAGAAGGCAGGGCCTTTGGGAGTGACTAAGTCATGAAGGTGAAGCTCCCATGAGGGGGATTAGTGCCCTTACAAGAGATCCCAGAGAGTTCCCTCAGTCCTTCCACAATGAGGACTCAGCTGTCTATGAAGGAAGAAGTGGGTTCCCCACCAGACATTAAGTCTTTGGGCACCTTGATCTTGGCCTTCCCAGCCTCTAGAACCATGAGAAACAAAGTGCTCTTCTTTACAAGTCACCCAGTCAATGGTGTTCTCTTATAGCAGCTTGAATGGTCTATGCCACCCCTGCCCAGTGCAGGCAGCATTAATTAGTTTTCAGTGGGGACGAACGTGGGACTGTCCGGCTCTGTGGAAAAGGTGAGATCGCAAACAGTGGAAACAGGCAGACCGGGCACTTGCTCTCCTGGAGCTAACATGCCTGGCTGAGGACGAGTGCTATGATGGCTGGGACAGAGGAAGATGGGGACTCTGCCTGCGGTGTGGTGGAGGGGAAGGGGGCTCTCAGGGATGACACTTCAGCTGATGTCTAGAGAAGCAAAGAGCGGGAGGAGCGAGTTCCAGGCAGAGGGGATAGTTTGTGGAGGCTCTGAGGCAGGCATGGTTTGGGAACGAGGGCAGAGCAACAGGGGTAGTGAGAGTAGGGGCCAGGTCACGTGGAGGGACATGATTTTACTCATGGGCAACAAAATACTCACACGACCCTTCAGGGGCTTTCTAGTTGGCTGGTGTTAGGTTTTAGCCTCAGGGTGAAAATCAAGAGTGGGCTGCCCCACAAGGACCTCAGAATCTCTGAGCTTACAGTCCTGAACGACGGGGTTGCTCTCAAGCCTCCCCTAGCCATGGCAACATCTTCCCCACACGATGGTTGGACGATCTTGGTTCACCCTCCACACAGGAATTCTTAACCTAGGCTTCTTGGATGGGCTTGGTGGTTGGAGGAGTGTCTCTAACTCCCAGGAATTTGTACATAAAATGTATTCTTCTGGTCCTATTTTTTATGGCGGTGAGATTAGAACAGGAGAGTCCATAGCTTTGGGTTTTCAGAAGGGTTCATGATCCTTAAGAGAGTTCACAGCCAGGGGCACCTGGGTGGCTCAGTTGGTTGAGTGACTGCCTTCGGCTCCGATCATGATACCAGAATCCTGGGATCGAGTCCTGCATCTGGCTCCCTGCTCCATGGGGAGTCTGCTCCCTCTGACCTTCTCCCCTCTCATGTTCTGTCTCACTGTCTCTCTCTCTCAAATAAATAAATAAAATCTTTTAAAAAAAAAAAGAGAGTTCATAGCCAGAATGCAGTGTGATCTCCACTTGATCCACATGGCTAGGGTCAGGGTGGGGCAAGGCCAGCAGAGTGGCAGTCTTACCTGTACCCCTGCCCCGAGTTACCTCAGAATTCAAACCCTACCTCGGAAAAGCAGAGCATAACTACATCTAGAAGAGACATGACTGGGCAAGACTTGCCTCCTTATTTTTTCCTTAAATGTAAATGTAAAGAAGAAAGTCTTTGAGCAGCTACCAAGTGCTAGAAGATCTTCCCATAGCTGTCATTTTGATTTTCATTGTGGATGATTTCTAAAACAGCTCCCAAATTCCCTCCTCTCATGCAGATTTTTATATATTCTAATGTCTTCATCTAGGAAAACAACAGAGCCAGAGCTGCCTGAGGTGCTGCCACCTAAATGCAGTGTCTTTCTTTTTAAAGGATACAAGTGCACCCACTGTGTTTCTGTCACGTCTTCATGGGCAAGTCAGGAGGCTGGTGATTCTGTTTCTTACCTTTTGCAAAATATTCAGCAGCAGCTCAGGACCTGATGAGTCCCTTAATTTCTCTTCTAGGCTCTATTCAGAGAGAGAGTGGAGGGGAGAGAGAGAAATCTCAAGGGCATTTTCACAGGAACATTAAACATGCAATAGGACATGTTAGCAAAGTGCTAAGTGATCTCTCCCCAGGGACCAGGGGCCAGTTGGAAGTAAAAGCCACAGACTGGCTGGAAGCCTGAACTTGAGAAGTCCTGGGTTACACCTGGATGAGTCAAAGAAAAAACATCAGAAGACAGACTCTTGGGTCTGCATTAACCCTGGCTGCTTAGGCTAGCTTAGGTCACAGAGCAGCTCCGCGGATGACATGGCCAACCAGGAATTACAGGAGGAGCAATGACATTGACACCTGATGGGCTCACCTTGGACTTGACATCTGAGTTACAATGGCCAGTTTATGCTGTCCTCTCTGACAGGGAACTCCAGCCCAGCAGTGAGGTCAGGTTCTAGAAGCAGACAGACTGGTCCTGGCTGGTATGTGACATCAGGCAAATCACTTCATTTCTCCAGAGTGAGTTAGGCTCTAAAAGGTCTATAAGCCTGGCCCTTGCTCTCTCTCTGACCTTGTCTGCCACCAGCCCTGGCCTCCTTGCCATTCTTCAAGTGCAGCAGCCTGTTCTCACTGGCAGTGCCTTCCCACAGCGGGCTAATTTACTGTTCAGGTTCTGGCTCAAATGTCACCTCTTGGGAGAGGCTTTCCTGACTCCCCCTACTTTGATGATACATTTCCCTGTTTTATTGACTTCACAACCACTGTCATCTCCTGGTGTCTTCTTGCTTATTTATTTACTTGTTTATTCTCTGGCTCTCCCATCCAAGCAGGGCCTCATCTGTAATATGTACTGCTGGTTCCTGGTGCCTGGCTCACGGAAGGCATTCAGTAAATATTTGGTGGTGGAATAAAAATATTAGCTAACACCCACCTCACCAAGACCTGGACATTGACTCGGGTGCTTCAACCTCCTGTAATTCTGACACCAGCACCATCACTGTATCTCCCACTTAATAAGAAAACTAAGGTATACGAGAAATGAAGTCCCTTGCCCAAGGTCACACAGCTTGTATGGGGTTTGGCCAGGATTCAAAACAGGCAGGCTGGATCCCAGGCCTGAGCTTCCCACTACTGCACTCTACTTCTTTACTAATCAAGCAATCTTTCTGGTCAAATGTGAATGGTAGTAATAGTACCCACCGCATGACTGTTGTGGGCCAGTCTAAGTAAGCATTTATCATGGGCCTGATTCAGAGTAAGCACTCATTTCCTGTGAATAATTATAGTTGATATTGAATCCGGACCCATAGATGCTGTAATGAAGGTTTACATTTTGGGTTAAAAAAATGAACATATTCCTTTCTGATCTGAAAGATCTCTCAGAATGCTAAATGGGTTAGGTCAATGAGGCACAAATGACTAACCATCACCCCTTAAGATGGGGCAGACCTGGGGGAGGAATATGTACCCAATCTGAGTCATCCCAGTGAGCTCATCGCACATGAATTATGAAGGAGGCAGCATCATTAGAGCCCCTGCATTGGCAGAAGGAAGCTGCTGCCATGGTCATTTCCATGTGCAAGAAGGGCAGGTCTCCAGAGCAGGGGAGTTGAGACTTCTTTCGTCTCTCTTCTGGCCTGTTTTGAAACAACACCCCCCTCCCCACAGCCCTGTCTCTTCCATCACAAGCATAAGCGCCTCAAACTGCCTCTGCGAGGGTTTTGTCCAATGCTGATGGTACAGATGAGAACACCGAGGCCTGGCAAGGGCGGGAGGTGTGGCGTCTGTGACTTGGTCATTGCGCTCATTACAACTGGTCTCCCGGTGTCCTGAGGGCGTTGACTGTTTAAATGGGCAGCAGCAATGGCTAGAACAACTGGCTAAACAAAAAATGTAATGAAATTTATCGTGAATTGTCCGACCTAACCCCAGAGTGACAAAGGGAGGTGGGAGGAAACCCCGCACTTCTTGAATTCGTGGACTCTGTGCAAAGGCAGCCAAGGGCGGGAAGGGCGAGGGGAAGAGGGAGCAGATGGCAGAGTGCAGGCTGGGCCGCCCAAACTCGCGCAGGTGTTCCTCCTGCTGCCCACCGCCAGCCCGCGCCCCCGGCGGAGCCCGTGGGACAAGAAGCGGACGCGCGGCCGGGTCCAGAGAGCGAGCCGAGACATCACGTGGCGGGAGGAACGGGTCCCGCGCCGGAGCCCGCCCAGTCCTCACCACCCCACTGCCGCCCCTCGCCCTCCCTCCGCGCCCCCCACCGCCCACCTGCCAGGGGAAAGAGCGCAGTGTGCGCGCTGCCAGGAAGCGGCGCTCGAAACTCGGCAGCAGGCGCGCGGCCTCCGCGCTCTCCTCCGGCGCCATGGCGGGGCGGGGCGGGGCGGGTCCGCGGCGTTGCCCGGGAGACGGGGCGGCAGAGGGGTGGGACTGAGGCGTTGCGCAGGGGCCGGGGGCGGGGCCAGGAGCCGCCTGGAATGTGGGAGGTGGGGAGGCGGGGCCCCGGTTGGCTCGGGGCGGGGCCTGGGGCTTGAAGGGAGGAGTCAGGGCTTTGGCGCCAAGAGAGGGCAGGCGGGAGGCTACGGCTCTCTGGTAGCTTCCAGTCAGGCGAAGGGCAAGGTAACATTCTCGCTGTTCCCTCGCCTTCACGAGGGTCTTTTTGGCTGAGTGGACGGATGCGTAGCCCTCTCCCAGTTGCTCTCCTGGGAGCGAAGGAGCCTGACGGCCCAAACGTTCCAAGGCTGCGTCCTCAGGCCGGTGGGTTGGCGGCCCAGGCCGTCGCCGCCCCTTCAAGACAAGGTGCGGGTTTGCCGCTCCGGGTGGGTAGGTGGCGCGGTTAATGGGCGAGGGAACGTAGGTTCTCAGACCTCCCACCAGGGCGCCGCAAGATGAGTGGAGGGCTGTGAGGTGCGCCCCTCTGCCAGAATCTTAAACCTCCCCCTGGAAGCCGTGCGGGGTTTAGTCCTCTCTGCGGTCCGCGTGCTCTCCACAGCGCGGTGCCCTGTTCCGGCCGCGGCGACCTCGAAGGGCCCCCGTGGTGGGAGCCATGCGCTGAGGTGCTCTCCAGAATCAGGAGGCGCGAGGAGCTTGGCAAGGTCAGCCTGAGGTCACGTCCTCTCCATGACCTCCTCAACACGAGGCAGGACCGCCCCCCCCAACTCCTCCTGCCTTTGGGTCTGCCCCTAACCCATCCAGTCTTGTCTTCACCAGACACTTATTAAGCACCTACTGCGTACCCAGTGCTGTCAGGGGATGCAACCGTGAGGAAAACCAGGAGTAGTCCCTGCCCTTCAGGGGCTCAGGAGCTCGCGCGGAAGTAGGCACCGCCCTAACTACCACACAAATGCGTGTGGACGGGCTTGACTATACCTGTCGTGCAGGTGAGCTCCCGGAAGTAGGAGGACTTAGAGTAGAAGTTTGACTTTGGAGGGAAGGGAGTGTGAAAGGAGAGTAAGAGGGCTGCTGGGGATGGTGAGGATGGGGAAGAAAAGAAAAAATAATAATTATTTCCATTAGGCATTACTGTGTCTGGAGTGAAAGGCAGGGTAGACAGCAACCCACGGGCGCTGCCTGCGGAGTCTGAGCTGTGTTCAAAGCCTAGCAAGTTCACTTTAGCGCATCTTTCATAAAACTCCATTTGGAAGAGTCCAGAGCTAATTTGCTAAATATACTTGCAGAACGTAGATGAGGGGGCAGATTAAATCTTATTACCCCTTTCAGATGAAAAACACTGAGCCCTGCTCAGCTACGAGAACAAGAGAGGAGAATTAATTCTAATTGAATGCATTTATTCTCCTATATGTTGTTCTTTTTTTTTTTTTTAAAGATTTTATTTATTTATTTGACAGAGATCACAAGTTTGCAGAGAGGCAGGCAGACAGAGAGAGAGAGAGAGAGAGAGGAGGAAGCAGGCTCCCCACTGAGCAGAGAGCCCGATGCTGGACTCGATCCCAGGACCCTGGAACCATGACCTGAGCCGAAGGCAGAGGCTTTAACCTACTGAGCCACCCAGGCGCCCCCTCCTATATGTTGTTCTAATACCAGCACCCAGTGAGCACAGGATCCGACATAAGAATGATGTCTTCTATTCCCTTGACACTGTTGATTTTTTTTTTTTTTTAGAGATTTTATTTATTTATTTGGCAGACAGAGATCACAAGTAGGCAGAGAGGCAGGCAGGGGGGTGGGAAGCAGGCTCCCTGCTGAGCAGAGAGCCCGATGCGGGACTCGATCCCAAGACCCTGAGATCATGACCTGAGCCGAAGGCAGCGGCTTAACCCACTGAGCCACCCAGGCGCCCCTGAAAGCAGAGGTTTTAACCCACTGAGCCACCCAGGAGCCCAACACTGTTGATTTAAATAAAGAGGGTGGACTGTGATTATTGCTGTCTTTACCCAGAATTAATGGTTTCTGGGACTGATGTTGCAGAAATCCTCTCAGTCACAATATCCTGAGGTAGAATCACCTGAAATATGACAATGTCTCAACCAGGGCTGAGTCTTGGTCCTAAGGGAATGAAGCTTCAGAACTGGGCCATGTGGATTGGTCCACTTCTGCTGTTTTGATCAGCTCTCTGCCTGCAGTAGACAATGAAAACCAATGGAAAGGGTCAAACTCATAAATACTAGGCTTGTTCTGTTAACACATACAATCGCTATTAATTGCCTTTCTTCTGAGGAGCAAAAGGGCATGTAGAGTCAATGCCATAATAAGTAATACTGTATGATGTTATTCTAAGATACTAATAAATCTAGGCTGGTTCAACCTTTCCTGATGCCATAGATGGGAGGTAGATTGGGAAAGGATCCCAAGTGAGCCATAGCAGTGACTTGCACACAGAAGAAGCCTTTATTTTGGTGTGTGGGTTCTTGGGAGGGACAAAGGTCATAAAGTAACAAATTTCAGATCTGAATCTAGAAGAATCAAGGCACTGAAGTCATTTTCAACATCCAGGGACCTCATAGGTGTGTGTTCAGGTATAAGTGAAGATTAGGATTGCCGTTTAACACAAAAACTACAAATTCTAGGGAGTGTTTATATGAAGAGAGGCTTTAGGACACATCCCACAGTCCTGCCAGCATCGAGGGGATATGTAGGTGCACATACTATATTACGGATTTGGCTTCTGGATTTGAGGCTTTTAATAACAACAACAACAGCAACAATAACAACAACACCAACAACCACAACTCTCTAATACATTTTAGCTGCATGGAATGGTTGCTTTTTAGAAATTATGCTGTGGGCATGGCAGTTTAATCAGTACCTTGAAGTTTTTCCTTTATCTCTCCTATAACTAATGGTTTCTGTAGAAAAGGACCAATTGATTTCTTTTTAAAATGTTGCTTCAGGGTGTAGAGACCTTTATAGGTCATGTTTCAACTTATAGGAAATTTTTATAGTTCAAATATAAATTACGTTAAATGTAGGCTTTGTAATGGAGTTAAGGTTAAGTAAAGTTCTGACTTTCCTTAGGTTGTTTATAGTGTTCAGGAGGCTCCCGCTCTATTGACAAAAGAGCTTTGTTAAAGCAGAAGAATGGTCAGGGTTGGGTATAATAAGTAATGTAGGTGGCTCAGTCTAATGATGTAATTATTGAGATATAGAAAGAGGTACATCAGGGCTCTATAATGCTTTGGTTGGTGGCAGAACCAGTGTTACAAGTTGGATTGTGTTCCCCCACTCCCCCAGAAAGTATGTTGGAAGCCTTAATCCTTGGTACTTAGGACCTTATGGTACTGGTGACCTTATTTGGAACTAGAGTCTGCAGATATAATTAAAATGAGGTCGTCCTGGCTATAGAGGGCCCTAAATATCATGACTGGTGTCCATATAAGAGAAGAGAAGACCATGTAAAGACAGACACAGGGAGAAGATGGCCATGTGGTGATGGAGGCAGAGACAGGAATGATTCATCTCTAAACCGAGGAATACCAAGTATTGCCAGCAACCACCAAAAGCTAGAAGAGGCAAGGAAGGATTCTCCCCTATATTTTAGAGGGAGCCTGGTCCTGCTGACACCTTGATTTTGGCCTTTTACCCTCCAGGTCTGTGAGACAATATCTGTTGTTTTAAGCCAGGTAGTTTGGGGTAATTTGTTATGGCAGCCGTGGAAAACTAATACAACTGGTATGTCATTTGGGAGGCCCAGTACAAAATGAAAATGCAGGGTCCTTGTTAAAAAAATCAAGAATTCTGAAATGGTGACAGTAGATTATTAAACCAGGTTGGGGGCTTTTCTGAGCATTGGGCCTTGAGTGATTGCTCAGGTCGCAAAGCATAAACCTGGCCTTGTTGCTGGATTCTCAAAGTGCTGGATCCCCTTTGGCATGCAGGAAGTGGTTGAAGTGGATTATTACAATGTGCCCTGATTAACCACAGGAAACCCAAAGAACACTCACTTCTTTTTCCGAAGAATGGCTGTGTATATCACGCTAGCAACAAACAGAACTGCAAGAATTCCTGTGACAATCGCGAGACCAAGCACTGCCTTTTGGAGAGCCGATGTCTTCTGTGTCTCCGCTCCTGATAAAATATCAGATGATTTTTAATTGTCTGATTATTAAGAGGCTGTTCTGGCTGCTCCTGTATCCGTGGGAAGTTTTCCATCCAGGCTCTGGTGAATATTAATTATGGAAATGAAATGTACATTTAACCCAAGAAAGTGCTCACTGTAAAGAAACCTCGTAGGGCAAGTCGTTGAAAGCCGATTTACTAAACGACCTATTCACCAAATGACCCATTTTCCTAATGACCACTTTGCCAAGTGACCAATTTGCTAAAAGCCAATTTGCTGAGAATCATCAGTTGGTGGGACATTTTGCTTATCAATAACCGACAATAGCCAAAGACCTTACCGCAGGCTCCCAGTGGGCTATGAGACAGCCGTAGGGGCCGAATAGTTCTAGCAACACTCTAAAACTTAAAAGAAAAAAAATCCTCAATAATTTGGTGAATTGTCATTCATTTAATTAGATTCCTACAAAATGGCCTGCTTCCTATAAGTTCACAAGAAGATCATGGGCAGTGGCTTAGAGTGAAAAGGGTGTCCTGTGTACTCTGTTCTAATTGAGCATAGTTATTTTAAGTATAATAAATCACCGATGGGGCACCTGGGTGGCTTAGTGGGTTAAAGCCTCTGCCTTCGGCTCAGGTCATGATCCCAGGGTCCTGGGATTGGGCCCCACATGGGGCTCTCTGCTCGGTGGGGAGCCTGCTTCCTCCTCTCTCTCTGCCTGCCTCTCTGCCTACTTGTGATCTCTGTCTGTCAAATAAATAAACAAAATCTTAAAAAAAAAAAAAAATCACTGAGCCGCGCCCAAGTTTCTCTCCGCAGAAGAAAAGCTGGCCAGTGTTTGCAAACAATTGAATTCTCAGAGATGATTCCATTCTTCCTTTATATCATTCGCATTTAAGATTTTGAAGTCTTAAGAACTAGCAACCTTATTTACAGGAACCACCTCCTTCCCCCTTTTTTCAGCGGTGAGTGGAATGGTAAGGCTTCGTTCTTCCCCTTTGAGCAGCTTGCTTTCAGGCACCAGCAAGGACTGAGTTGCTGAATGAAGGCTGCTTTTCTGTATCTAGAAGGGGCGTCAGAGTACAGACTGCATGCGATTTCTGAGGACAAGGATCATTGCTTGACATTTTCTTTTTTTTTTTTTCTTAAAGATTTTATTTATTTATTTGACAGAGAGATCACAAGCAGGCAGAGAGGCAGGCAGAGAGAGAGAG